AAACGATGGAAATGCCGTCGTACTTGACGTCGCTCTTCACAATCAAGTCTGCAACACCAGCAGCGTCAGCGAATGTGGGGATGTCACGGCCAATTTGGTTGAAGGACATGGCCAAGTTCTTGGCAAGCACACGCGACAGTTGCATTTTGGACTTGTCACCGATGACCATGATAGGAGAGTCGGATTCGACGGGCTTCTCAGTGTTGGCAATGGCACGACGGGTGGCCTTGGTCACGGAAGAATGGATACCACCACAGAGACCTTTGTCAGAGGAGACGACAATGAAAAGCTTGCGCTTTGCAGGGGTTTCTGAAGGAGCATGCTGGAATATTTCTGGGCTGTTTTAAGAATACGGAAGCGGATCTACAGTCTACGGGACGCACCGGAGTTAGCAAGACCGTACTGCTTGCCGCTCTGCATGGCACGCTGCGCCTTTGCGAGCTTAGTGGAAGCAATCATCTTCATAGACTGCACATCACAAGAAGTATCCACGGTCAACACTCAGAAATAATACGAAAACAAGACATCGGCGCACCTTGGTAATTTTCTCAATATTCTTGACCGACTTCAACCGTAGCTCGATTTCACGCAACGTAGCCATGTTGCGGGCATTTTTGGGAGCAGCTCCCAACGGGGAGGGCTGGGTCGCGATACGGGCAAGTGAACGCCTTGCTAACATTGAAAAGTGGTCGAACCTGGTGCGCGACCGAATTCCGAGCAGCCAACACACTTCACCGACTTTCGGCGGCATCCGATCTGAGCTCGAATTTGTGTTGCCGGGTCTCGGCATCGATGGAGTCATACTAATATCTAATCTTGCTTAACGTACTCATCAACGAGCAAGCCCATCGTACGCGTCAACCACCATGGCAGCAGAACAGCCATTATTCGATCCTTCGCTCAAGAAGCGCAAGAAGAAAGCTGTAGCTTTCACTGAGGACCCGTTAGGTCCTGAAGCGGATCCTACTACACCTGCACCAACCACCATCGAGAACACAACTACCAACGGAGATGTCGTCGATCTCGGTCCTGCCACTGCCCATGAGCAGATGAAGCGAAGTCTTAATGGGGCACCAGATAGCGTTGAGGCTGTTGATGAAGCAAAAGAAGATGATGATTTCAAGGCCATGTTTCCAGATGGTCTCAAGAAGAAGAAGAAGAAAAAGGACATCCCTATGGACCTTGTGAGTATATCATGTTAAGCCCATGTTTCGCGATTTCACATGTGTATGTTATCAGGGCGAAGATGGTTCAGGAGCATCGACTGCAGCTGCTGCACCCGCCGCTACGGAGGATCTCGACTTCTCCGACATCAAGAAGAAAAAGAAGTCAACAAAGAAAAAAGCAATGGAGGACTTCGAGAAGGAGCTTAATGAGGCAAAGGCAAAAGATGAGGCTGAAGAGGCTGAGGCCGACGATGGAGAGCATCTTAATGAACTAGATGAAGCAGATCTTGGGGACGACCCATTTGCACGCAATGAAGTACCCGCAGGCATTGACTCTGGCACAGAACCATGGCTTGGGAGCGACCGAGATTATACTTACCCAGAGGCATGTGCACTTGCGGTGATACATTTTCCTGACCCATATTAACCTACATCATCAGCTCCTAACACGATTTTACGCCTCCCTCCATGCCGCAAATCCATCATTACTCACTTCCACCGGTAAACGATACACGATTGCACCTCCACAAATTCTCCGTGAAGGTGTCCGCAAATCGATCTTTGCAAACGTTGCAGATATCTGCAAGAGGATGCACAGACAGCCAGAGCATGTCATTCAATTCCTATTCGCTGAAATGGGTACCACTGGTTCAGTGGACGGTTCAGGGCGTTTGGTCATCAAAGGTCGTTTCCAACCTAAACAAGTCGAAAATGTTTTGCGTCGTTATATCGGTAAGTTTAAATCTACGCTTCTCATACTTAGCGCTAATATTGTCAAAGTCGAGTATGTGACATGCAAAACATGTAAATCACCTGATACGCTCCTTACAAAGGAGAACCGTATTTTCTTCATGTCCTGCGAATCCTGCGGCTCACGTCGGTCCGTTAACGCGATCAAGAGTGGTTTCCAGGCCCAGGTTGGCAGGAGAAAGGCAACTGCGCAATGAGTCGTTGTTGTATTATCAGGAAGTTGTTTGTTACGTCTATCACTACATTCATCATCACACATCGAACCCTCAGTACATGGTCTGATTGTAGAAGCATGAGGTGAACATTCCATAAAAGCCCAAATGAGGAGGACATAGTGAACAAGAAAGACAAGAAATAACTAAAAAAAATCATAATGTATCATAGACTCGTTGAAAACGTGACGCAATATCGAACCATCCTTCATGAATCGATATCCCCAACCTTCGTCAACACTAGACGGCGTTTTTTTCCTTGGGGGCTGTGCCAACTTCGCAGGTGTGACTTCTGGTGCACTCTTGCCTGCAGGGGCATTGTCGTCAATACTAGTAGCAGGTGTGGGAGGCGGCTCGGTCCTCTTCGCAGGAACGGTAGGCGTCGTAATAGCAGCTAATGGAACCGAGGAAGACGAGGGCGTCATCGTGTATGTGAGGGGCACGAAGTTGTGTTGCGCGATGGACTGAAGTTGTAATGCATATTGTTGAGTGTGATGCGCAGGTAAAATTTCATCAAAGATCACGATCGTACAGTATCCATCTCGCGATGAGAGGATAAGGCACTGTCCGTCAGGAGTCCTATTAAATAGCTCAATATAGATACCAGCAGCCTGAAATAGCCATCACATACCATGACGCATCCGTAAATTCATCATAGTGCAACTTCGTGAGCATGCAAACAGGTCCAGATTGTTGGGTATCATAGATGGCAACGGCATCCATGGTCAGAACAGCGTAAAGCATGCGATAAGGCAGCGCAAACACGGAGCCAGTATTGGGTGGAGCGATCGCCGGGGTAGAGGGCTTTGATGGCGATGGCGTAGAAGGCTTCAGCGATGATGGAGGCATAACTAATTCGGGAGCCACAACATGAGGCATAGGCGCTTCGACATGTAGGAGTAAATTCTTTTCCACCTTTGGAGAATGTGCAAATACGTCTTTGTGAGTTGCAGGTGTCGCGGAAGGCCCAGCAATATCAACAGAAATCGACCCGTCCCTGCCCTTTTCCAGAGTTCCTGTCTTAGGTTCGTTATGCCCCTCTGCGCCAACGACATCTTGTCTCAATTCATAAAGCACAGGGGAGAACTTGACAGCCACGCTGGCTTTCTTATGCCCTGGTAACTGAGCTATAGGAGGACGGGCAAAGTTCGCCCTTGAGTAAATGAACACAGACGATGCCGATGAAGGGTTGGTTTCGCTCGTGGTAATCGCAAGTTTGGATCTACGTCCACGAGTGGGAGTTTCCTCGGCCTTGGGCTTGTTGGTAATGATGCTGGGATCCTCAAATTGCCCTGCAGGGGTTAGCAAGAGGCCCCCATCTGGACTGAACGTTAAGCGGCGGAAGAAGTTCGAGAAACTTTCATCTCCATAGAGTTTAATAGTCGACCATGCGGGCGAAGGAAGCGCGCGGATCGCAGGAAGGGGTGGCATAGGAGAAGGAGATCTCCCATATCGTGCATATTGTCCAGGAGAGCCGGGGGCATTAGATCCACTGAATGAAGACCGTCTCGAAGAAGGTCTCTCAATCGGCGGAGGAGGGAACATCGATGTGGATGGGGTGCTGACTACTGACGCGGTCGGCGTCGGAGGAGCGTAGTTACCAGAGAAAAGAACATCATCTTTGTGCTGGTCGCTGACAGTAGACTCTACGTCACTAGCAGCAGACTCATGTCTGTAGGACCTGGAACGGCTGTGCGAGCTAGGGGTGCGGCTGTGATTGTGGGTGTAAGACATTCGTGTGTTCTTGCCCACAGCATGGGCTTCGAACGTGCCCTGCTTGGTCGAGATCCGATACACGTGCATCGAACGGTCACTGCTCTGTGTGGCGATGTATTCGTTGAGCGGATCCCATGCTACGCCTTGGACATAGTGATTGTGCTCAGCGATCTCGCAAACACATTTGCCTAATCCAATGAGCCTGTATTCCTCACATTAATAACGCAAAAACCCACCATCACTGGGAGAGAACACCCTGGCACAGTTGTCCGTACTGCCGGCTAAAATGTATTCCCCAGTTGGACTCCACGCCAGGTCATACACCTGCATCGTCGTGCACCTGTCCCATGTTTTATTCTACCTCGATCTGAAACTGGGCATGAAAGTCATCTTACCTAAACGTCGTACGCGGCTTCCAGTACTCCTTTTCATATTGCATTTCGTCCGCAGTTAGATCACTGCCATACGTGGCGGTCTGCGGCGTGCTTGAAGGTGCCCAGATGATGATCATGCCGTCTATCAATAAACTCGCGTCAAATAGTATCAGCCAGATATTTAAGATTCATACCGTCTCCAGCGGAGGCGATGAACTCCCCTGAAGTCGCGTTAATAAAGTGGTTAAGGCTGACGAGGCGCGTGCGCAAAACGCGTACCATTAGGGGAGAATCGAACAACGTTCACAGCAGCCGAGTGTCTGCTAAGTGTTGCAAGATATTCGACCCGAGCAGGACGTGGCGCGGCGCCATCTGCACCTTCTGCAAGAGACGACGGGAGGATGTTCGGGTGCACCATCCATATCTTTTCGAGCCCGCATTGGTCAGCGCACTGGACGTACCATTGAAGGCTCACTCACTCTGACGTGGTTGTCCTCGCCTCCTGTGGCCAGCCTATAGGACTGTGCAGCAAAATTCTTCTCCTGCGTTGGACGCGCTTTTTTGAACGGAACCGGCTGAAAGTCGCAAGTGGATATGGGCTTGGAATCATGCCATCGAATCTCGAGGGTGCGGTAACGCATTTTTGAATGTATTACTGAGCGCAGAGGGATTATGGTAGTAGAATGAAGGATCCTGAGCGCTACAGGAGGAGGAACATTTGTTCACAGACTGACAGTAATACGGATCGGAATCAAAGGCTCCTTATGTACAAAACAGACCCAGGTGGCCGACTCGCACGCTCATGATCGATTGTTGTCTACCTACAATTCTATCTATTCAATTACAAAAATAATGTGGAGCTCATGATCACAATAACAAAGCAGCATGCTCGAGCGAATTGCGGAGCTTCCGATTAGCTCTCTCTTCCATATATCACTTCCAGATCCCTAAGATCGCGTTGCAACACCTTCGTCAAATGCTGTAAACCAGCTTGCTGATTGGACAAGATCTGCAATGTGCATGTCAGTCGAAGCTCAGAGTTCACAAATGAAACCCTACCTGAGCGATCTGCTTGAGGCCCTCCTCATCGACGACTGTCCATTCAGAGGTTCCATCGAGCCCCACTCTTCTGCCTCTCTCGCGGGCAGCGTTGATAGCCCCTACGAGTGCCCAAAGCTCATTCAGCTTTCCTCGCATCTTACTCATCCCACCTGGTCTTCTTATTTCTTCTTCAATCTCCTCGAGCGCTAGACGTAGTGCCTCCTCTTCGGGACGTATCGCCGTAGACCGGACAGTAGGTAGCATCAGATGCATGTGCTGGATCAGGCACAACAGGCGGTGCTGGGTTTGTGATTGGATTGACTTTGCGCGCTGTAAACGTGATGCGTTACTATCGTTATGTCTCGCGGATAACGATTCCAGTCGCTTTTTTAGCTCCTGAGACACGCCCGAGTAAGGAATTTTTCTACAACGTAAGAAATAGCCACAAACCATCAAATTTTTCTGCTGTTCTGTGGCTTGCCTCATTTGTCCGTCTACGCGCTGACGCAGATCGTCAAAGCCAACTGCCAGAACAGGTACCATACTGAAGAGATAACATGAGCACAGTGAGTGGCAGACGAGTTATTGAGCTTACCAACTAGGATCAGGGTTATCGTGCACTGCCCGTTGCCAAAGCGCCTCGTTTGTGGCATTTGCAGGCCTGCCGAAAGCGTTTACTTGGGCTGGTGGAACGAGATTATAGAAATAATGCTGCCCAATTGATAAGTTCACGGTAAACTATAAACTGCATGCGACGGACCTGAAAGCGACATGCTGGCGAAGAAGGATCCCAGGCCTGTACAATTGCTTGGATTTTCTGCTCAAGCACTGCATATTGTGACTGAGGATCCTGTTGTTGTGCAGGTGCAGTGCCTCGCGATGCGAGAAGTGAATTAGATAGTGGAAGACCTAGCGTACTGCCAAAAAGCCCTCCAGTGGCTGTACTCGGCGCAGGCTGATTCACTGAGCCAAACAGGGAGCCAGCTGGTTTCTGCTGCTGGGACTGGCCGAATAGCGAAGGGGTAGCAATAGGTTGCGCGGATTGGGATTGACCAAATAGAGTTGGAGTGGTCGAGGAGGGGGCCGGCGCAGTACCAAAGATACTCGCTGGATTTTTATTCCCAAACAACGGGTTTGAGTTCGTTGTCGCACTGCCAAAGAGGCCACCTCCAGTAGCTGGAGCTTGGGCTGTCGTGCTACCAAAAAGCCCTCCTGAAGTTGGTGCTTGCGTACTGGTACCGCCAAAAAGACTACCGCCAGCGCTTGGCTGGGTCGTTGATGTTCCAAACAGCCCACCAGTACCGGTAGTAGACTGTGGGGTCGTAGTACTTCCGAAGAGACCACCACTCTGTGGTTGCTGCTGCTGGGCCGTGGTACCTCCAAAGAGACCCCCAGCCTGCTGCGGTTGTTGCGGCTGCTGTTGTTGGGTACCTGCATTCCCAAACAAGTTTCCAGCAGGTTGAGGTTGAGCTGTCGCATTACCAAACAGATTTGTTCCTGCAGGTTGTGTCTGAGTGGTCGTACTCCCAAAGACATTACCCGTGGCGGGCTGCTGAGTAGTCGTCGTGTTACCAAACAGACTACTGGTTGCAGGTTGCTGCTGCTGCTGCTGCTGCTGAGTACTCCCTCCTAATGCTGGCGCTTGGGAACTGGTACCACCAAACAAGTTTCCACCGGTACTTGGCTGAGTGGTCGACGTTCCAAACAGCCCGCCAGTACCGGGAGCGGGCAGTTGGGTCGTAGTACCTCCAAAGAGACTACTACTCTGTGGTTGCTGCTGCTGGATCGTGGTACTTCCGAAGAGACTCCCGCCTTGCTGTGGCTGTTGCTGCTGCTGGGTACCTGCAGTCCCAAACAAGTTCCCAGCAGGTTGAGTCAACGTGTTCCCAAACAGACTTGTTCCTGTAGGTTGCGTCTGCGTCTGTGCCTGCGTGTTCGAGTTCGTACTTCCAAACAGACCACCCGTAGCAGGCTGCTGGGTTGTACTGGCCGTGGTATTACCAAACAAACCACCAGCTGCAGGTTGCTGTTGTTGCTGAGTGATGGTATTCCCAGATGAACCAGCTGCAGGTTGCTGTTGTTGCTGAGTGCTGGTAGTCCCAGACGAACCAGTCCCTGCAGACTGTGGCGTCGTGGTATTCCCAAACAAGCTCCCGCCGCCCGCACCTGCAGTGGTGCTCGTCGCCGTACTAGGCGTTCCGAAGAAAGTTGTACCGGACGTAGATGGCTGTGTGGAGGTATTACCGAAGATGCTGCCACCCGTTGCCTGTCCAGGCTGCTGTTGGGCGTTCGTGTTACCGAAGATGCTTGTGGTTTGGGCACCGAGTGTCTGCCCCGGCTGCTGCTGGGCGTTCGTGGTACTCGTCGTCTGCCCAGGCTGTTGCTGGGCGTTCGTGGTACCGAAGATATTTGTTGAGGGTTGCGTTGTGGTACCACCAAAAAGTGACATTTTTGCAGCCTTTTTATGAACTATAAGTAGGAAATAGTTCGAGATTGAGTATTGAGAGATCTGAGCCGATGCAGACTCACCTTGCTCCTGATACAAGATGCAACTCGATCAAACCCACGATCCTGACCTTGACAGAGCGAAACAATGGTACACGGTTTGAGACAAAGACGAAGACTGAGAATTAATAACTCCCGTAGGTATTAGAAGGAAAACAGTCACTTCTTTTATAAAGAGAATTAAGGTGCTGAGACAAGTGCAATACAAGTGGCAGGTGTACACAAAGTCCTAACTTACTAGGATCCGAAAATTGACTGAACGTTCGTTAACGTTCAATCGTCAATTGAACTAGGGTGATTCGTAACTTCGTATAAGGGGGTTCAAGACTCTGGGATGACTGGTGTCACATTGCTACAATCTGACTCGATAACGGACAACGATCTGTTCACAAATCCCGAAATGAATCTATGATACAAAAGCTGCTAGGCAGGCGGACCACCTGGTTAAATAACTAGCGACTTGCATGACTTGCGCCTGCGAGTTACAGTAATCACACCGATACACAGGCAAGTATCACGTCCACGTAGAAATATCATGCAATGGTGCATAAAAAGCATGCGTCATGTAGGGACATGTGGTGTACATGTAGTTTTGCTAAGTCGTCTCCCAAGCACCACAGATATAAAAAGAAGCGATCAGAACTATAACGCAGACAGTCAGCTCTAAACGCAGCAAGCATCACGAATAAACATACGCGAAGGGCCTGGAAGAACCACTTGTTCTTTCCGGTCTGGTAACGCTCCTCGAACAACTTTTTGATGTTCTTCCGTGCATCCTCCCGTTGTGATGGCTCCTTGAAGTGGTCAGCAGACACTGAGTTCTTCAAGCTCTCCAACTCCAAAGCGTAACGCGTGGGGAATAGATGCGAGTAGTTAATCACCTGAGGACATACGGTGAATGTCAGTACCCATCTCCATGTCACGGTCCATGTGTACTTACCTTAATGAAAGGCTTAACGCGGCTTCTCCGCTGCAATTTCTTGGCGCCCATAGTCCGCGTAACTTTTCGCGGGTAGCGTTCGATTCCGGCAACGATGGCGTGGGGGTATGGTCGCTCCTTGGTTCCCTCATCGAGTTGTTTAATAACGACAACCTTCTTGCCTGCCTGGCGGCCCTGCAGGACGATGGCGACCTAGACAACATGGTTAGAACCGCAGTGACATCGATCACACGTATGATGAAAGCACTTTTCCGGGCTTGTAAACTAGTATGAACGATCAGCTTTGGACACTTATAAACGATATGCATTCTGACCTTTGGGCATCTTGACGTTGGGCGGCGCGGTGAGGATTGACTTTGCTGAATAGATTTAGGCGAGGCAAGCCATCCGGAGATATCCGAATGCTACTATATAGTTCCAATTTAAGGTTCCGGTCTCACTGGAATTTAATTAATGTTGTCCTTTGTTTCTCCTGCCAAGTTCCAATACCGTTTCGCCGTTGTGCGCCTTCCGCAAATATAACATTCAAGACATATTTATAACATGCACAAACGTTGGAATTTCAACCCGATGATAATCTTGTACCCTTGCACTACTGTGTAGTACCAATCATGCTCGTGACGCTCTGCATACTTTATCACACGCTCGCCTACTTCCTTGGTTATCTATGGACTCTTATCTCCCCTTTGAGGTCCATTTTGAGCTGTGCCATCGATGCTACAACGTACCACCCAACGATTGGGCGAAACATCATCGTCGATATCATCATGTCCATCTGCACACTTCTTGTTTGGTCAACTCTCGTGGGGTGTATGCTACTGCGCAAAGAAGAAACTGCAAAACCATCATGCGCACCACCACCTGTAAACTTATCTTTGCAGATCGTTCCTAGGCCTCATTCCTGACCGGTGTCTTGCAGCATGTTTCGTTGAACCAAGCAAATGAGAGCATGATGAACGCACTAAAAGCAGTGCAAAAGGCGAGGGATGACTTCAAAGAGATGGAAGACACTTCGGCCACCACAATAGAGGCGTTGTTGCGCTTGAGGCAGGCTGGGAAGGATATGCGCGAAATCCATCAGGCGCTTGTGGAGATGTCGGACATGTTCGACCAACGAACTGAACGGCAGTTGTCCCGCACTTTCCCCACCAATTCAGGTGGAGCGAGATAAATTTGTTAGTTATCCAATCACTCGCACTTTATTAATACTGACAGTTTCCTATATCAAGCAGATGAGATTTGCGAAATTTCGAGTTTTGAGTGGGAGGTTCTTCGTATGCATGCGACATCCGTTGTTATTTGCAAGTGTAGTATCTAGTATTGACACAAGCGTGTGTGCAGCACACGCGTGTTTCAACTCAATTTGGCATTACAATAGGTTTCAAACTAGACGCCTATGTGAATCGATACGATGCTTTCCGGAATCTTCTTGCGCAACATCTTCATGGCCCAACGTTGTCTAATGCTCCCGCATAGTATAGAACGAGCACTGGTTCTCCTCCGTCTACAGTCCCGGTAATCAGCCTTCGCAGCCTATTGCCACGTGGCACCGAGTCATCAACCAGTTGTTATAAAATAACATGAGAATCTATTACACCAATACTATCACAAAATCCGGAGGAATTCGTTGCCGCAACGTACGAGATGAATCACCTCATCGGGTTGGCATGCCTAGTCCATTAAAGGCCTCTCGTGCACGGCGAGCGAAGACTCATGTTCACGATTAGGTGTAGCCCCGCGAGCGACATGTCACCCTCTGCGGCCAGCATGAATCAATATTAGAGGGAATCAAACATGTCGATTCTCGCAACCGATTCTGAGTCCGATTTTCGGCTCGATTCTTTGACCTGAATCGACGTCAACTTTGAACACCCCCGATTCTACTCGCAACTTCGCCTCTGAATCATGCACGATTCTCGCTCATAGCACCTGCTTTGTCAGTGATCTCAGTTAGCATCTGAAAAGTAAATTCTTCAGTCCATCTGTAGTTGGGCATCGTCGGATACTAATAGTAACAGAACAATAGGTCATGCACTATGATCTTCCCGACCCTTTGATCCTCTCTTGCCTGTTTTGGTGGGCTGCTTCTTAGCTTTCGCATCAGCGGGCTTAGACTTTTGCAAGTGCATTTTTGGTTGTTGCTTTCGCTATGGTACAGCTAGCGGGTTATAACAGCAGTAGGCCCTTTGAGTCATAGTGTAGGGGACAGTGTATTTCTTTGTGATATGTTTTGAATGGATATTTCGCAATTTTAATTCGCATGGAAATTACAAAATTGGACATGGCAACACGATGTTGATGAATCGATGATGAAACGAATCGTTGAAGCGGCTCCAGAGCCGCTTCAACGATTCTTGTCGATTCTCGATTCTACCCGATTCTGTCATCTAAAAATCGACAACAGAATCGGTGTGAGAATCGACATGTTTGATTCCCTCTATTCCAAATAGCTGATCTCAGCACTTGCGAGCTGGCAAATACTGGCATTTCAAGTTACTTTGCAAGGTGATATCTCGCTCCACGTAAGATTGCCAATAGACCTTGCTCCATAAGATCGATCTTATGTGGCGATCTGCTGGCATTGCGGACGTCATCTGTTCGAAATCATATTTCAGGTGAATAATTTTTTACCATATTACCATGAAGAACAATACTCAGCACATAAAAGAAATGCGTCTTCCTACTGCCACCTTTAGATTTATTTGATCCCATATCACATCCTCACAAACAATGCGTTTCTCCTTTGTCCTTGCCACTGTTGTTGTTTTGACAGCAGCAATATTTGCCAATGGGGACGACAGTGAGATCTGTCCCTTTTTTTGCAGACATAGTAGGGAATGCAAAACGTGCGATTATGCGAAGTGGTGTGTGAGTATAAGTAATTTGTGTCTTGGAACTATCCACAGGACTCACCAACATGGTAGATCATTTTTGTATGCGACAGTTGGTGACAAGGTAGTTGGATGATTTCTAGCAGATCGTACAGAGCCGGTTCGCTATGCGCTTGCTTAGCGAACTATGATTGTGAAAGGACAAGATGCTTACTATAGATAAATCGGGGTGCGATGTGGACAAGTTGTCGAACGGGTGTAGTACAGTTAGCTTGAACGATTCGGGTTTGAAAGAGCAGGATGCCTTGTAACCTGGTACTTATTTCAAGTTGAAGCATTGATGCAGTACGAATGGGAGAATTGAACTACACACAAAAAACCGCATAAGTAACACTTCATACGAGGTGCGCGCACCATGCACGGTAGCGTGCATGTTCTATCTGCGTTCCTATCGTCTCTCCCAATTACTGAGTAGAATGCAAGGGAATACTACGTCAGGGTGTACAACTCCGAGTCTGATGCAAGACTGATGCCAAACGGACTGCATTGAATACATCATGCAGTCGATGGCATCAGCGTTTGCACAGTGAGGAGATACGTGATTGGTCTGGTGAATATATGATATCATCTATGATCCCTAACAGTAGTACATATTGTCCACGCACAATGAGGAGCGCGATGGACGAGGGGACCCTGCATTGGGATTTCAAGCCAAAGAACACAGTAGGAAAGACCATGGTAGCGTGCGATGACATGGGCGTCGTAGAATGGTGCCTCGGAGGAGAAGGCTGCGTAGATGAGGGCGTCCACGCGCACATTGCTATAGCAGCCTAAGGACGACGCGTCCAACTCTTATATTTGGCTCATATTGTCGAAAATAGTGCAATTGTCTCCGAATACATTCCATCCTGACCCAGTAAAATATCGACAGAACAAAGGGAAGGCCTGGAATGCCCGGAGGGTCGTTGCGAATTGATGTGGTTGTACATTATGATGGGGTTCACTGTTTGCTTATAACGGGAGACTACTTATGTAATTAGGGCAGCAAATTTTTGCATCGCTGATCCGGGATCCGACGCGGTTGTTCTGGTGATACATAGTGAGCACAATAACATTCTAACAACAATCACTGCGTAGATTGCAATGAAAACATGGTCACGGTGGCCTGACAGCCAGTAACGGCCAGTGCAACGGTTCAACTAGGAGGCAGGCCGGAATACCCGGATAGTACTACAGTTTATTTTGCCGTTTATTTTTTACATTTGGTTTGATGGTAAACAAAATAACTGATGTGAAATTAATTGAGTACCTGAGTTTGTTTTCACAGTTCATTCAAAATGGGCGTCGCGGAGCTGATATAGTACCGAACGGTCACTGGTCACCGTTGACCTCCACAGCTGTCCTGGTCAAAATTTGCTGCCGAAAACACGTACAACTGCAACAATATTATGATTGCCGACGAGCGGTTCCCTACTGAATCACCACGAAAAATAGTAAATACCAATAGCACCACTGGTAATACCATCTCCGTCAGTGCAGCAATTGCGAGGTCGTCCTCGGACCTCAGTAGATGCAAGCTGACTAATAGCGAAAGTTTCAAGCTCAAAAGCCAAGCGTGCATGAAGGGAGGAACTTTGTTTGCCAGTCCAACGGGAGCTTTCAAAGACAAAGGGCAGCGGCACGGACCCGGCATGTTTTCTGTTTCAAACTCCGACCTAGAAAGCTCAGTTTGCACTGTTTAAGTATTTGACAGCTTCGTAGGAGTTGGTACATTGAAGAAATAAACTGCAATTTGAGTGGGGGGCTATTGAAATTAATGCAATCGCTCGGCGATGGTATGCCCGAGATGTCCTTGTTTCAAGCGTGGCGAGCCGTATCCTGCATGCCACTAACCAAGGATTCTCAGAATTGAGACACGCGGTTTGATGGTACAGTATGACCTCCTCACAGCAATAACACGCTGTCAGCACATGTCAGTGGCTATAGATACACGCGGTTCCTGTTCTCAATATGGGCTGCGTTGTCATGATTATTCTCATAAACATGCGCACCTGTTACGTAAATTCAATGTCCTTCCGTTAGCTACAGCCTGCTACAGCTCAGGGCTTGAGGCCGCCTTGCCATATTGCTTGATGTATTGGGTGATCTAACTATTTATGACATTATATTGTTACAATGGTAGTACTGTACAGCATCATGTCCTACTCAACGAGATTTCCCATCAGGTGAGTCTTTCAAACCTCTTCTCGTCGTCGGCAATCATCATCATATCTAAATCATAGATATGAAATGAGTGACTAACTTGACAGGTTAGAACATGGTGTACCGCCCTAGGTGTGACTCGGTGATTCTCGCGCTAACCCGCACGTACACGAATTTAAGCATGAAAGAACACTTGCGAGTGTCGTGTCATGAAGTACTGTTCTGATCGGCGACACACAGGGACCTGGGCAGGCCGTGATACTTCGCAATTTAGTATGATCGACTGGCAGTTTCTCCCGACATTTCAACTGGCACCTGTCACGATCGTGGATCCCGCGACGATCGCCGTCAATCAGTAAAGCGGCGGAAGAAATAATAATATTTGTAGTGTCCTTTACCACACCAGTTGGCGTTTGTACCTAGCCAATGTACCAGCTCATTACAGGAAAGGCATACCCATAAGCGATCACTGCACGAGCGAACAAAAACGCAACAAAACAACAACGAAGGCTATGCCTGGCGAAGGGGAAAAGTCCAAAGCCGCGGACAAAGTAGAATAAGCGACTTTTATGTGTATCAAATGAAAAAAAAAGAGCGGAACGTGTGAAGGCATGAAACCAAACACTGAGCGAGGTGATTGTTTCACCAGATGTTGACTGATTGTTGCGGGCCATAAGTGTATGGATACAAGAGTGTTAGGGAACAAACATACTGGGTGAGCAACCGATGTTCACGAGGCCGTTGTAAGAGTTGTCTTCGCAACAAACAGGTTGTTGGTTGCTGGTGGTTAAAAAAAAAGTTAATTCTAGCACAATGAAACGTGGATCGCAAAAATTCACCAGTTACCGCCGCTGCTACCCCCGATAACGCTTATGGGGGAGCAGCTCTGACCACAATTAGTATTGACAGGGACGTCAATTTTCAAGAGCGACAACAGCTCATCGAGGGAACTGCCATGGCCAGACTGGGAAACAGAATCGCAACACTGGATAGAGCCAGTGTTGCACTGGCCACTCCCGCTTGAGGGAGCGGTGCGCTTGGCACCTTCAGGAAGAATCAGCACGCGTCAAACCGAACAAGATAGTATGCTTACGTGCAACGGGTGTACCCCGACGGGCGGGGGCCAATGGGGGAAGACCGCGCGCCATTCTGTCGGCGTTAGTCTCCGCGCTTACGACAGTAGCAGCCACGGCGAGAGCAAGGACAGACGCGAACTTCATTATGTTCTTTGTGTCTTGGGGGGAAAAGAAATCTATACAAGAAGACAAAGGAACTTAAGGAAAGTTGAGGAAAGACAGGATGGTTTGAGAAGAGAGTTTTATAGGCGGTCAACTGAGTCGAATTATAATGTATGAAAGGAACCATCGGCTACCGAATTCAGCACTACCAGATTTGAGTCTCCGATCACTCTATATATTAGGTTAGCCTTGGGTTACACAGACTTATCTCCAATAACCAAAAGTTTTCTTCATCTTTCATGCGATCCTTGTCCGCAAGATAACAATAACACTATGGCAAAAATGTAGTGAAAGCAAAGACCACAGGCCCTCCCCAGCACTGTTTCACTCGACGGTAAAATATATTGAAAATCATTTTTTGTTCGAATAATTACCCTGTAATTTACCTGGACACGTTCTATCTCCTTTCGATTTTTTCAGGGATTTTGGACATTATACCGTAACGAGCCAGCTAAGATGGTCTCCTTCGTGTTCAAATGCTGCCTGTGCGGGAATCAAGAAGATACCCCTTAGACTATGGCGCGTCTGTCTGATGCTGTCACTGGCAGGGTGTGCTCTCCTGACCCCGGCCAGCCGTAAGGTCCGTGGCGCACTTGCGCCGATTTGTAATCTCGAGGGGTTGACGGATATTCGGCAATTGTCTATTCTTGTGCAACGACGTTATGGAGGATGCGGCAGATGCACGAACTTCTGCATGCACATCACACACGTTTCTGATCTGGTCAGGTCAATCTGATCTGAGTTTGTCGTATGATTTGATCAAGTGCCCGTCGGGTTGTTAGGAGCGAGCCTTCGCGTTTCTAGACTGTGGGCCACGGGATTCTAGGTCTCCGTCTACGTCGCAGGACTATTATAACCCTGGACTTTACAGGCTACTACTTCCCTTGACGATGGACTCAAGCAACCACTAGGCAGGGAGCTTCGAGTTCTAAGTACCTTGCCCTGCCGCGTTCATTGTTTTTGGCACTTGAGGTAACATTATTGCCAACATGACGGTAACGTCCGAAATGGACGCTTCCTTACCAAAACCAATGAATGTCAATGTGGACGGAGATGTCAATGAAGGGGCACGCAAGGGCACCTAGTACTTGCCACATACCTTGAAGACGTGAAGTCTTATCTGTCCTATAATTGGTCTATTATCCCCTGTCGGTATTGGTGGCGTCCCCTTGTCAGCCAGGTCGCTTTCCTTTGTATTTCACAGCCGAATTCCGTAACATCTATCAGGTTCAATGAATATCACGCAACCTACTAGCACTTGTGCGAGTTGTGGATGCCGCAACTAATGGGTCAAGAGTAAGTATTAGTCAACTTCAGCAGGTCGGGTATGTAAGGGTCATGCGCGTCAACAAGGTTGGCGGGGGAAATGAAAGAAGTCGAAAATCGAAGAAAGGGCACGTAATGTTTGTTCCATGAGGTGTTTAGCGCTGACTCCACATGCAGATCACACCGCGTGACGATTGAAGGTGAGCGCTATCTCACTGGTTAACGACTGGCACATTAATACATTACGCCCATCGTGACTTCTTTGAGGGCCACGAAGACCATGTTATCTCGTTTACACCTTTGCCAGTCGACACAAAACAAGGAAAAATAGACCTCAGTCAAGTGTAACAAATCAGCGAACACGCCCTTACATTGGGTGTGGGCTATTCTTCCGACTGTGCTACAGAGTGCTACAGAGCGCCCCGTAACACTCTGTAGTGAATTACGTTTCCCTGTTCAGAAGTCCCTTCACGAAAGGCTTCTTACAAGCCTCGAGGACGGTGCTATCTTTTACCTCATATAAAATGAGCTAACGAGCAGCAAGCGAATATGCCCTCCTGTCAATTGCAGCTATATAATGTTTTTCGGTTGCCACGAAAGGCTTTCTACAAGCCTCCAGGACGGTGTTATCTCATCAATACTTTCTGATATGAAGACTTCAGATCGGTAACTCAGCGAATACGCCCTCAAATCGATTGTAAGTTAGTCTCTTCGCTGGGTGATGAAAGACTCCTACAAGTGCAAGAAACGGCTGAGTGGTCGAACAGGCTTAGCAGCTGGCTGAGGGAGATGTCAATCGGTGTTGGGGGACGGAAATAAGCCGGCGAAAGAAGATGCCGCGGCAGCCAGTCGGGGCAGCCAGCTTCAAAGTTCCGAGCGCGCGACAACCGCATGGGCCCATATCTCTCAGCGGGAGGGTCAAAATAATCAAGATACAATTTTGGAAACCGACCAAGGCACGCCATGGAAGCAATACGACATTTGATTTACCTCTGGACTGACCTGACCCCTGAGCTTATGTTATGTATAGCATCACAATGCTCGATGATGCTAGAAAGGAACCAATTATCAAGGGAGGTAGATTACGGATTGTGCGAAATTTATGCAACCGATAACGATCAAGCTTCAAGTGTCAGGAGGTGTCAGGTCGATTGTCTTGCGGGAGTGAAGGGTCTGTAAAACTGTGGTTGCACTTGGTACACACGAAGAACAGAATCATGCGGGTCTCCTTTCGTTTTGACTGATCCTGGTAGAAAACGGCACTAGAGTGGGGCAGAAGGTATCGTTAGTAAGGGTAAGCTGAATCATATCGACATCGCGCACTCGTCTTGGCCACAATGCGGACATGTAATATTTGAGTGTGCCTATCAGATATCGGAATCAAATGGGGTTATATGAGATGACGCTGAGGGGTGAAACGAACCAATGTGGGATCTGATCCGAGGTCGGTAGTAATTCCCACTTGTTCTCTGTTGATTTAAGGTCAAAAAGATGGCACAAAAATATTTCAGCTTGAAACACTTACTTGGTGACCGTTAGTAAATCATTCCTATAGACACACTTGTTCTCGCCGATCTCCTCTTCGCTACATATTCTGCAGGCGTAAACCATAATGCGACGCCCAGTGTCAGCCTTTGGGTAAAGCAAATTATTGCACTCTGAGCAGAAGTGGAGTGATGCCTGCATGTGGCAAGGGCGACCAGAGTATGAGAACGGTTATGTAAATACGGCACAGATACATGGGGACAGATAGAAGCATTAGCGATGAATTGCAGCACAAGATATTAAAAACAGACCATCGCAGGTGTTGAAGAGTATCCGCCTGAGTCAGTAAGATCGAGGCAAGATGAATTTCAATCTCCGACAGCGCGTCGTGCCCCATTTTGGTCCATCCCACAACGTTGTCAAGTCCAAGTGCAATACTAGGCTAACTGTTTATGATCTGTTAGGTGCTCAACAGGTTCTTCATGAGCTTTGATTATTGAAACGTGGTGTTAGCAATACGTACATTCAAATGGATCTATGCGGGTCTATGGACGTCACGGGTATGCTTTGCACTTCTTGGAACTGGGTACATTCACCCAGATGAACACATGCAAAATGGAGAAGTGACCTCAGGTGAGTCTTAGTCTCGCGTTTATCTTGCTACTCTAATCTCAGAATCTAAATCCTTCAAGGTGATCTCATGCCATACCATACCATCCGTACTTGGGAATGGTCCGCTGCAGTTCCCGTCCGCTCCATAGTACCAGCATTTGCAACAACTGGAATCCCTGTCTGGTTTGCTAAGTTCTTCAGCAGTGAGAAATTTTATGCTAGAATCATAATGTATGTCTCACAGCCTGTTTAGACACACAGGGAATGCATCCAATGTTGATCTTTCGACTAGAACGGTCCGCCTTTTTGGTTGTATCTGGGCTGATCGGTAATTCGTGTAATGTCATCTCTACAACTCATGAAGCTCAAGGCATTAGATTACAGTTTTATGAGTTTGGTGCCCATGCCGGGTGCCCGACGCCTTGGTCTTCTGCTTCTGGCGTCGTCTCATGTTATGAACACGTTCCAGGTCCGGCCCTTCTCGAATTCTATTGAGGCAGTCCTTGTTGCTTTGAGTCTTTTGTTCTTGCGTAAGATAAGCTCAGTTAAGACGCTGGATAAGGTCAGTTTTGGCTGTTCACGGCTTCTCGAAGTTCTTGAGCCTGATATATTGGCAGAGTTATCTTCTCCACTTACTAGCCGCAACCTTCGTAACTGGTATATTCACTCGCCCAACCTTCTTGATATTCGGGGCGCCCATCGCATATCAGGTCGCACTTGAAACGTTTACATATGCCAGAACTGCAACCAGGTGGCTGCGGCTTGTTGTCCCGCCGTTATTCACTGCAGTAGGGGCATGTACCGCATTTTTGGTAGCGGACACCCTATATTTTCGAGGCGCCCTTAATGACATCGTGGTGACACCTTTTAATTTTCTCATGTATAATTTTGCACCCCAAAATCTGGCGGAACATGGTCTCCATCCGCGTTGGCTCCACCTTTTCGTGAACCTTCCGATGTTGTTCGGCCCCTGGGTAACTTGGCTAGCGGTGCGCGCCATCGTGGACAGTGCCACATTATTTGACGAGACAAATGACAAGTCATTCGAAGTCTATGTTCTTCGTCCGAGTAAGGGCTTGTATTGACAGCATTCGCAACTACTCACATTTTGTCCACTCGCAGCAATCATACAAATGATCATTTTGTCATTGACTGTCCTTTCTGTGCAACCTCACCAAGAACCTCGTTTCTTGGTGCCTCTTTTGCTGCCTGTTATTGTCTTGATAGCAAACACCGGACGATTGGCCCATGTCGGTAAGGCATTCTGGGTATGTTAACACATTGAAGTTAGTGGGTGAGGCTGTTAACGACTTTGTAGGTATCTTGCTCCCTCTTCAACTTCGTGCTCGCAGTTCTATTTGGAATTCTGCATCAAGGAGGCGTAGTGCCTTCCCTATTCCACCTCCATTCCGTAGTTACTGATACTTCCCTCGGTATGCGGACAAACATAATCTACTGGAAGACGTACGTACCACCGCTCCACTTCCTTGGCGTTAGCGAACAAGGTTGCTTCCATTTTTTCCATGTAGACAGGCTCAGCTGACGTAGTATCACTCAGATGTCTCAACTGGCTTAATTTCTTTCGTCGATCTTGCTGGGGCGTCCCAACATGACTTCGCTGCGTCCCTCAGTGCTGGTGATTATGACAGAACATTCGTCGTGACCCCCGTGGCCATGCGATACACGCTACCTCCTGCAATTGCGGACTGTATGGAACTGAACCAGTCCATTTTTCCGCATCTCGATCTCGACCACATTTCGGAGAGCATGGATACAGGCGTACTTGACGGCCTTCGTTTAGGGGTGTATACCTTGTCACCTAACTGTGTCTTTGTTTGAACCTCTTATAACCACTCAGCACGACGATCTGAACTTTTTTTTTGGCGATTTGTAAACGGTGAGCCTAACACTGCCGTAGTGTAATAGAATAATCCAACCACATCGCAATCTGAGACTACAATATTTGAATGCTGACCCTGCTACTACTGACAGATGCCTCTGCACAGACTCGATGAGTAACGAAACGCATGACGAACTCGTAGTTACAATGTATTTGTTTCCTCGTAAGTTCCAACTTGTGAGCAGTTCATTATCACTTCTCCGCGGACAATAACCTCTGGCACTACTGAGAAACAACGGTTTGATGATATTCACATCAATTTTGTCCAGTAGTATGACCGTCCGAAAGTCTACCGCTCGCAAATTGCAATATGCAGTAGCTGCAAGCGCCACCATAGTCTCCACCCTTCTTGGTTCCCCATAAACTCCATCAAATATGTCAAAACACTTGCACTGATCATAAGGAAGCCAGAAAACATGGAGGGGGAGAGTCATCGATTTAAGGCAATGATGCATAGCCTAACGACTTCTATTGCCAGAATGTGGTGCAAACACATCCACTAGGATAGTCTCCAGATGCGAAAAATTTGCTAAAATGGAGCGTACGATCTGGGGGAAAGTGGTCTGGAGGTGGAGATGACGCAAAGTGGGAGAAAGTCCTCCTCTCAGCCGACAGGATCTCGATCAGGCGGGGATCAGCCTGCGCGAAACGCCGCATCTGGCTGGTTGTAACGCGGCATTCTATTTCAAAACGGCTTTGGTTGGAAGAGCGATCAATGTGAAGGGAGAGGCCGAGTGCCAGACCGGGCGAGCTAGACCTGCAGTGGAGATAGAAGGAATGGCTTAAGTGCTCCGGCAAGTTGCCATGGAAGCATAACCTTGATACAGGACCAGATGCCTGTTATCGAGCTGGCAGCAACTCGCCCTCGGCGGCACACCCTGGTGAAGAGTAGGGGTGCGTTGGATGCATTAATATTGGCTGACATGGTTCGTGCAATTGAAAAGACACTAGGGGGCATTCTGTAAAATCAATGACAATGAGCAAGAATATTTCCTGTAGAAGTTCTAGGGGGAGAATATGAATACTATGGGGGGTAGTTCAAGTTGCCAGTGTGAAGGAGTGAACTTGAAGGTTACGAGGTTCAAATAACACGTGACCATGTAGGTGCCAAATTTGTAAGTCCGCGCCGCGACCGCGACTTCAACGTCTGGCAATCTCTGGCCAATCCTGCGAGGATACATATCCTAATCCGTGTTAGGATCTTCCTGAAATTCATGGTATGATATATATGCCATAGCTTCGGTAAGACGTCCACATGGTTATCATCTTGTTGCCCGGACCAATGGGTAGCAATTAGGATTTTATCTAACGACACCTTGTCATTCAATTGTATCCTTCTCCCAGGAGTCGAAGCCTTTAGGTTCATGGTCAAACGCCAGGACTGTCAGAGGTCAACGCTGGGTTGATGGCTATGTCTACGCCAGAACTGTGATACGTGTGGTATTCACATCGTGATCGAACATCTTCTGTGCTACTTTCAAGTTTGCTTCTGAGAACTTGAACTTGAATGCCGCGACATCTTCCAACGATGTCACTATTGATCAACCTGGTTCTATATTGGCATGCCTCACTGAGGCTGCATGCCACACGTTCAATGACAAGCACGCGGTTAAAGCATGCCTTGTCACAACATGGTGCGCAGTCTACCGCAGCTCGAGGGTATAAGCAAGTCGCTCGACTACTCTTACCCCAACTTGAAGTTAACCAACCCAACAATACAAAATATCAACATGAGCTGGAGGAGTCTTGACAGTACTCCAGAACTCTCTCACCCAGTATTGACTGTCCCGTATCGCGTTCCGTCATCAGAAGGCTTTGCCTCGCGTCCGATGAGCGCTCTCTCGGGCTCTCAGCTATCGTTTAGCTCACCTGCTTCCCGGTCCTCACGGTCGCCACCGGCGAATGCAAGACTTCCTGGACTCCTCGCCCAGTCATCTGCTGTCGCAAGCCCGGTCGAGTCTGTGAAAAGCATTGCCTCGTTCTTTACAAAGCTGCGGTCTGCCTCTTCTCCGCCCAGACACTCCGAGTTTTATTTGCAGGATGAATTATCTGTCTTCCTGGTAGGTGGTCCAAATATCTACATTTCTGAAATTTTACATCAAAGAATATTGTGATTTCATAGGTAGACGGGGTACTATTCCGTGTACACCGCTTTTTTTTGCAGCGCGAGTCTGATGTTTTCCGCACTATGTTTGTGTGTCCTCCGACGCCAGACGGCCCTGATGGAATCAGTGATGACAAGCCCATCGTCCTGCCTGAAGTTACAGTCGCTGAGTTTGAGGGCTTGCTCAAGTTTTTATACGATGGGTATGCACCCCACACTTATCACCGTACCTCGTATCAACTAACTACCTCTCAGGGGCATCTCGCCATCTCCATTCTCAACAGCAGAAGAATGGGTCAGACTGCTGTCGATTGCAACCCGCTACGGAATGGAGCGTATCCGTGCGAGAGCGTTGCATGAACTAGAGTACCTCCCACCACTTGATCCCATCCAGAAGATTATCCTGGCGCGGAAGCACGACGTGCAGGAGTGGCTGTTGCCCTCTTACGTAGTGCTTTGTTTAAGGCGACAGCCTTTGAATGTGCTAGAGGCCGTAGAACTTGGGCTGGAGACCATGGTGCTGATAGCGATTGGCAGAGAGTCCGTGAGGGACCCTGGTACTCTGAAAAATTTCGAAGACGCTAGGCAGCCACTAGGATATGAAGAATTTATGACGGACGTCGTTGCTGACGTATTTGGGAGAGATGGAGAGATCTCGGGTGCTTGAAATACGTAACGCGGAGCGGTGCGCAGTATGCAAAAGATCCGAGGGGAGTGTATTTGACATAATACAATTTAACGGTGACAGTACAATTGAGTACAATTACAGGAGTAAGCGTGTTATGTATATTGTTTTGAGCTAATTTCGACGTAAAACGTCAAGAACGAGGCAAAATGTCGGGCAGATAATTTCCGCTTCATGCTGACCTTATGCTGACAGTATCAGGCTAGCAAAAAGATGTTAGGCCTCTGTCTCGCGTCAAGTAAACGACGTACCTCCGCACTGCCAGTGATAGAAACCGGAGGTGACCTGGTGGACGGAGATGTAGACGCAGCAGAAGAGGTGCGCGCAATCATAGACAAATCGATGTCTATAGACAAGATAACGATTAGCTGTTGCACGTGTCACATTCCAAACAGTGACCGACCTTGTGCCTTGAGTGCGTTCTTTCTGATCTGCCTAGCACTCTCCCTTTCTTCCTCTGTGAAGGAGTTGGCCAGCTTCTCGGGTTTGGGCTTCTTGTGAACGGCTGGAGCACCATTACGGTGTCATGAGCGTGGAGCACGGCAATGGAGTCATTACGTACAATTGTTGCATTGCTGATCTGTGGTGTCTTCCTCAAACTCCTCCTGCTCCTTGTCTGCGAGTGCGGCGGCCTCAAGGTAGCGTTCATCATTGATACTGCCCCAATTGTGTTGGCCACTGCCATTTTTGCGAACGGACTTGTCGAGGCCAGACTTAGAATTAGAGCGATCCCGTAACAAGGCACGAGGGAAGCCAGCGCGCTCTGTGCGAGTCATGATGAGCCTGTGTAGTGATGAGGTCTGGTGGGAATCAAAGTGGTCGTGTGTTGGGAAAATAAAGTTGGATATAGGAAATTGGAGGGCGTAGTAGTTTACTTTTATACTGCAGCTTTGCCTGCCACGCCACCTGTGACTATGACTTACAAGGGTAAATATTCGAGACAATTCTACGACTCGTGATCAGAACAACAACCTTTTTGTTAGTTTTTATTCCATCCAGGGAATGTCAATCGAGTAAGTTGTACCTTTCTTGTTTCACTAGTGCTGCGGCCGTTCACACCAACCCCATTGTGACTTCAAGCTTCAATGTCGCCTGACGATCTGGCGTGCGCTCAGCGCTCAGGCTCCCCAGTTCCAAAGAAAGAATTTTGTGGGGAAACGTGGGAACATCATTAAGACGCACGTGGCTACGAATGGCACCGCACGGTAGCGACTTTGTCTTACAATAACCCTTTGACAACAGGCAAAGAGTTCTTTAGGAAGTTGTCTAGACTACCCCCCTATGAATGGGATAATGGAAGCCGCAGTGCAATCTCTTCTACGATCATCTGAGGATCTCAAGGCGGCACTCGAAGTCGAGGTCACACAACTTCAAGAACGCGGTGACCTTTCAAGTTCTTCCACAGATGACCGATCCAGACGCATTCTAGCCGTGGTGTCGCACAGAAGGGATTACGTGGAAGACGAAGAAGGCAGGTGTGTAACCTGCTTCCTGTGTCAATGGTCCTTGCGCAGGATCAGTTGCTTTCATGCCAGACGCGGAATACGTCAGAGTTCTTTTCCTGGCGTACAGATGCTTCTACTAAGCTCCGCTCGTTTAACTTTATGCTGACTATGAGAAGTGTTCTGATTCTTAAGCGCACGCCGGGTCACTCCATCGAGGACTTGAGTGTTGAAGTGGCGTACCCGATCTCAGGAAGGTTCTCGTTCTCTGTTGCGCAAGCAAGGCGAGCAACTTTAGACCTTCGCACATCCGTGGGAGATACTGGCGCTACGCTGGGTCAGTCGAGATCAGGTGTGTAAATGCGGCTGATGCAATAAGTCGCATTCTTACCGCATCAACAGAACTCATTTTGACTATAAAGTATGAGCTGGCTACTGAAATACGAAGCCATACTTTGATCACGCGAGATACGCGGAAATTGCAGTCCTTCACCTCGGAATGCAGACGTTTGAAGGACATATTCAGTCAGCCGTTCTTCTTTTACGTCCCCCATATTGACTTACCGGCGCATCTACTAATCGTAGCTAGAAATGAATTTAATACTGATTTCTCTTGGCTATCACTTTACACACAAGAGAGCTCTTTGAAATGTACGATACCTCTCATCACGTAACTGTAGACACTCAAGCTGACTTGATACCAGCCTTTTCATTTCCTATAGATTTGCGCACGGTCAAACTACCGTTGCACACGCGACTCTCGCCGGCCAGTGCGGGGCTTCCAGGAGACGATGCGGTCGATATCAGCATCGTCCGCGAACATTGGATCTATAACAAGGCTATCGAAGAGGCTTCCACTGGGTCATTGGCGCGCCTGCTGTATGCTCGCTAATATTACTCTTAAAATATTTTAATGGGCAACTTCACTCATGAACAGCATCCGCACGGGGTCATTCAATGTCAATGGAAAGTTGCCGTCGCAGGACCTGTCTCCCTGGCTCAGACCAACGAAGCGCGATTCAGAAAAATCTGGATGGATCTCACCTTTAAAATCCATTTCACCACTCGATATACTCTCAAACCCGATTGATGAACGTCAGTGGCGTTTGATCACTATGTCAATTTGTCATTGATTACACCCCACTCCTTGATTTAGAGGTGACCAGCAGCCTAGGAGCCTCTTCAGCCACATTAGCTCATGGAAGTTTGAACAACGACGCAAACGTCTCTGATCCAGATCTCCTTGTGCTAGGCTTCCAAGAACTGGACCTTTCAACCGAAGCCCTCTTGTATGCCACCAGTACCGTCAAGGAAGATGCATGGGTGGCAGCCATCTTGGCTGGGTTGGGTGAGAGAGGCATTCTCTATGAGAAGGTATCGTGTTTCACTCATTTATCTATTGCAATACGATGTGTAATGTCTGTCAGCTTGCTTCCAAACAGCTGGTTGGCATGCTGATCGTCGCAATTGCGAAGAAGTCGCGTCTGTCATGCTTTGGTGACATCAGATTTAGCACCGCTGGTGCAGGAATCATGGGTATCATGGTACAGTCGTGAACATGATTTTCGTGGCATTTAATCAAAATTCATCCTGCAGGGCAATAAAGGTGCAACAGCGATACGGATGTCATATACACCTTCAGCCCAAGAGATCTCGCCAAGTTCCACAGTGCTCACTTTTGTTAACGCACATCTCGCAGCATTTGATGAAATGGTGGAGAGGCGAAACTTTGACTTCCATGATCTTTCCAGGCGCCTAGTCTTTGATCAGTCTGACGAGCTTGATTCTAATTCGTATGCGAATGCCACATCAGAGACTTCGATAAGAACCGCTGGATTGTATGAAAGTGACGTATTATTCTGGATGGTGCGCTGTAACTTGCCCCTTCTACTACCTCACTTACACTTTTGGAACTTTAGGGAGGTTGGTTGATTATCACTCGACGAGATGAATGATTGATTCGGCCGTCACAGATTTGAATTACAGGATAGATCTTGCTGACGGGGACGTGAGAGAACTACTATTGTCTTCTCCAGGCACGAGTAACATCCCACTTTTGCTGAAGTATGATCAGGTCAGATCATGACTGACATAATTGATCACTGCGCTGACTGTATCGAGTATTTAGTTGAAGACGGCTATCGCAAGCGGGAAAGCATTTACTGATTTTTCAGAGCATGCAATTACACATATGCCGTGTGTAATTTCCTCCCGAATAATTACCTACATTGACTCGGTGGGCGTGGCAGTTCGTACAGATATGCTTCAAATACGTCAGAAGATTCTCTGGGATATGACCGAAAGTGAGTGGTGTTCGCATTTGGCTTACTATTGGAACAATCGTCTTATCTTGCTAGGCGCAAACCCGCATGGACGGACCGCATATTACATATGTCAGCTCCCAGTGTTTTAGTCACCCAACGTTCATATTCCAGCCATCCGCAAATAACGATGAGTGATCACCGTCCAGTGTCAGCTGATTTTGATTTAAATGTGTGTTTTTTATTGGCAATGCCATGTTTGATCCATTCATGCTCAATGTTTGTCAGGTATCAATTGTTGACAAGCAGAGACGTGAGATCGCCGCCTCTAAGCTGTACCGGGAGTTATGGAGCGTGGAACAATCCTCAAAGACACCGAAAATCAAGCTACAGCCAATGACATTGGACCTTGGAAAAGTCTAGTAGGTTCTTGCACCCCCTAGTTGGTGTTGACTGAAGTTTGGATCAAAGCTACAGGCGTCTAACCCGACAAACGTTGTCCATTCAGAATGTTGGACAGGCAAGTTGACCCGGTAACTTTCACAGCCTTTGCTGATTCTGATTTCCAGATCCCCTGCGTTTACCGATTCGTCGCTGCAGATGCTGAACAGCCAATCTGTAAGTAATACCTTAGCTCTCATATCACTAATTGATTTGTTGTATCGAAGGTCCACAATGGCTCAAGATTGATCCTGTGGTGGTGCGAGGCATCCTCGTGCTGTCGCGCTGGGGCTAACCTGCAAACTTCATTCTTTGCAGGGCCTACTTCGTCCGGGTGAATGTTCGACCACCACTGTCACAGTGTTTGTCGATAACTCGTCTGCGTCACAGCTCAATCTTGCACCGCCCCGCTTGGATTTTACCCTCATACTGCACACTGCTCTAGGAAAAGATCACTTCATTTCGGTCACTGGCGAATACCGTACGTCCATTCCTGTCTAGCCTGATATACTTACCAGAGATGATGAACACAGAATATACTTGCTTCGCAAACAAGCTCACCAGACTTACACGACTTCCCGGTCCCGTGCGACCTATGAAGTCCCCGAACGATTGGGCGCCTACACGGCAGCCAGTGAACGCCCCGAGGGAAATCATGACGTTGATCAATTGGTTGATGACCCATGTCATTGATCCAGTTCGTGCCATAAAGATTTTCTGACGGCATGTCCTAACCGCGCTCTAGAATGATTTATTCAATGGTCCTCTTGACGAGAGCATATGCATGGACATCAGAGAGGTGTTTGCGAGTCATCTTCGACATTCATGCATGTGTTAATAATTGTTCAGTGTCTTGACACAGGAGATCAATTTCCATCCCTTCAGTCTGGAGAAGAGCACGGTCCACTTGCGACTGCCATTGCATATATACTGGTACAGTTATTGGACTCATTGGTAGATCCTGTGGTGCCCCCGTACCTCCATGCGCGGTGTCTGCAAATGACAAGTAGAGACGAAGCATTCGAGGTGCGTTAACAAAACTCTAGTGTCCTGGATAGTCTTCACGCAAGTCCTAGCTACTGGACGAATTTCCTCCTGAATCAGTCAATGTAAGATTCCACACATGGTGCACACGCCTCTCGTTAACTCTTCTTAGGTGTGGATCTCGCTTACTGCATTCCTCCATTACATATCCTTGCAAAAACTGCCGTCACAATCATCGACGGATCAAGCGAATATGGCAGAAAGGCTGGGTGCGTCTATCATGAACTCATTGGAACATCTGCTGAATAAGGTCTTTAGCGACTTTATTTGCACCAGTATTACTGCGGGACGACCCGACAGGGCTTCACACCCACGTGTCTCCAATCGGAAAGCGAAAGTTCTTGCTTCATTTTGTTGGCTGATCTACGCACGACAGTATGTCTCAGAGGTCCTCGCACTCTTTTAATGTGATTTGCTGTAAAACAAAGTTTCGTGATTTGCGATGGACAGGACTGTTGATATATCTCAAGCGCTTTAGGGGGTGTAGTTCCAGTGACTATAGGGAGGGACGACACATGCAATGAGCAACAATTATAGTAACAAGATGCTAGGGAAAAACTTCAAAATCAGTTAGAAGCAGAAACAAAACAGGCTGTTTCCATGCTGTCCGGCGTTGATGATCCCTGGGCGTGAGCCGGAATTAGGGGAAGAAGAAACATAGTCTTCGTCACGTATCGGGCTATCATTACCCACTGCAACGTTCCGCTATATACGCATGGATGCATTGAGATTTGGAATAG